ACTTGCCCACCTCAAGTAACGCTGGCCATGGGGAGCCAGCCCTGCCCCAGGACGTGACGGATGAAGTCCTGCTGCTCGTCTTCTCTAAGGACAAGTCTCCGGGAGACCACAGCCTCATCAGGACAGCGGAGGCCTCCAAGCACGTCATGCGTGACAGCAGCTCCCAAGGAGTGGGGACCCGCCGACATCGCAGGAACAGGAAAGAGAAGCAAAGGATCAAAGTGAGTGACGCTGCTGTTGCCGTCCAGGGAGAGGAGAGCAGGTCCTTGTGCAGGAGGGTGGACATGATGGTGGATTTCGAGCAGACGGGCTGGGGCAGCTGGATCGTCTACCCCAAAAAGTACAACGCCTACCGATGCGAAGGGCAGTGTCCCTCACCCGTGGACGAGACCTTCAAGCCCACCAACCACGCTTACATACAGGTAAGAGGGGTTTGGTGCCCCCGCTCCCCCCGTGCACCCCAGCCCCGCAGCAGGGGGTGATGCTTTGCCCTTCTCTTGTCTCCCCAGAGTTTGCTGCAGCTCTACAAGCCCAACCAGGTGCCCTGCCCTGCCTGCTCCCCGGTCAGGATGAGTCCCCTCTCCATGCTCTACTACGAGAAAGGTGAAATCGTTGTCCGCCACCATGAGGACATGATCATCGAGGAGTGCGGCTGTAACTGAGGCCAGCTTGTCCTCTGCTGGGAAGGAGCACATCTCTGCCCGGAAAGTGTCCCCGAGGACTGGATGCCTGACCCACGACCGATGCACAGACCGGGGCATCTCCGAAGCCCACGTGCCTGCGGGTCGGTGAAGCTCTGGCTGTGCCAGGGGAGGAGCAGGATGCCCGGGCGTTAGCAGTTCTGCAGCACTGCATGGCCACGGTGCATGGATGGATCCAGGCTCCACGTGGGAAAGGCCATCAGACACCTCCTTGCGGCACCGGTGGCAGCACCGGGGTGGTGGGTGCCTGATGGCTGCGTTTATCCTGTGGTGCTGGCAGCTGGTGTGTGCCAGGGCAGTGCTGGCAGGAGCCGGGCAGCAGGGCTAGAGCCACGGCAGCATAGCTCCCTGCCATGACACCCTGCCCATGGCGATGCTCCTTTTGTCCCTGATAGGAATCACCGGTACCTATGGGCTCTCGGCAGGACACTGCAGCACTGGTGTCCGGCCATGCTGAGCATCCCCACTGTTGGGATTTTCAATCTCTCCCGGGGTTTAGGCATTTCTCTTAAGACTTCTATTCTATTTCTATTAAAACTCTATCAGATTTTGATTACAATTAAGGCAAGTTAATGTGTTAGCCCAATGTCTAGAGCCCCCAGCCGACAGCACCATGTGGGCAGCAGCAGGCAGGGGTTCATCAGAGCCCACTCCTGCCCTGAGCCATGGGGCTGAGCACGAGGAGAGGGACGAACCCAGGAGCAACTGGTTGGCAGCAGGCAGGGAGGCAGCCACCTCCGTTGTATATGCTCCTCACTCAGGACCACGCAAGGATTGATGCACAAAATGGGCCTGGCTCTCCCGCATCCCTCTCCAAAGCATCATCCGTGTACCAGGAGCCAGAGAGGGTTTGCACAGGCAAACGAGGTGCCCCTGGCAATAAGGCAGCCCCTCGGTCGGTCTCGGTGGGTCTGAGCCCCCCACCCAGCCCTCCAACCTGCCCTGAACATTTTGGCTCACACACTGCTTTCCTCTGTAAAACTACGGCTTTGCTCAAACCTTTTCCACCACTCGCTGGATGGGGTGGTAGTGAAAGGGTTGTGGTTGTATAATTCATCAATAAATTATATTTATTAAAAACGCCCGGTAGGTTCTGCTGATTTCCACAGCCCGTTTTTGCTGTTGAATGGTCTGTCGGGGCACAAATCCCTCTTTCTCTCTGTGCATCTGCTGCACCCAGAGGTTCTCCCTGCTCCGGGATCGTTTCTGGCTGCAGCCTGCTCCGTTACCACCCGGCATCGCCT